CTTACCAGGCCTCCTACACCCTTCTCGCCATTGATTTTGGTAGAGATTCGTTTTCTGTCACATTGTGGATCCTGGGGTTAAGAAGTGTAGGAGTCCTGACATTCTTGATTTCTTATCAGAGGGGTTTCTGGAGCCCCAGCTTTCATGCCCAAACTGCAGACAGAAAAAGGAAGACAGGAAAAATGAAGGGGAGAAGGCAGGAGGGGTCCTGGTCCAGTCCTCCTAAGCGGAGTTCATGGAACACACGTGGCGATTTTGTTTTACATTTGACCCACCACAACACGAGTGATAGAATAGTGGAGATAAGGGGCCCTGTCAAAGGCAGAAGACTGTGAAGCCTGGAAAAACCGGGCATCTCTGGAATTCCTGTTTGTGCATAATTCGCTGGACATATGTGTGTGTTGACACATCGCTGTGGCAGTGGGCTCACACAGAGGAACAACGGGGAGGGTGGCACAGGCCTGCAGTGTTTTGTTGGGTTGTACATTGGGCCCTGATGAGTGGAAATGGACTTGATGGTACCTAACAACAACAACATGTATGTGTGTTATACTGTCTTTTAGAAAAGGGCATTTTTAGTGGGGAAACAAAGGTGTATCATTTTAGTTGCAAATGAAGAATAAGTAATAATTGATTTGATTTTTTAGCATTTTAAATGCCAAGAATATTTGTGAAAAGTAGCAGACCATTGGCGTTCAATGTCATTGTTTTGTTTCATTTCTCAGGATGTGATCTTCGTGGCAGGAAGCTGAGTTTTTAAACTACCCCAATGGATGCAGACAGTGACGTTGCATTGGACATTTTAATTACAAACGTAGTCTGTGTTTTTAGAACAAGATGCCATTTGAACTTAAGGAAGATTGCTTTGGAAGGGGCAAATGTAATTTATAAGCGTGATGTTGGAGTAAGTATGTTCACGTTGACATGTTTGCTACATAGCCCAATTGTATAGCTAGTGCTGTGAGTGCTACTATAAAATGCGTTCATTCTCCAGACGGGTTCCTGAGCACCCTGGCAGGGCTGAGCAGTACTGGCTCTGTAGAAGTGGACAGTAGGGCGTTTGGAGATACCTGAGTCTGAAGCAAAGCATTCCTTGGTTACATAGCCATTGTATTGTTTTGTCCATTCCTTTTTAACAGAAAGAAAGGAACGTTTATTCATTTATTTATACCTATTCAGGTATAATTATGCTGGAGTGATACCTGGATATATGAGAGGCCTTCAAAACGCTCATGGAAAAATTCCATCATATTTAAATAACATTTCCCATGAGTTTCTTGAGGCCTTATATATTGTACTTTTCTGTAGTATATTAATTTTCTTAATCCTTTTTTAGCTTAAACCAAGTAGTTG